CTTTTACTGTGATTTACTTAACTTTCCTGTTCTCAGTATTTACTCTGCACCTTTTCTGTTTCATGTCAGTTCAACACTAAGAAAAGGCTCTTTCACTCATTTTTTTCCCCACAGTAACAAATACTTTACATTTTTAGGATGTATTATACGACATACTAAAGTTTCTCAATTTTCCAAGAGTATTTACCTAGTGTGCACTAGCTGCCGGTTAGCTTCTTAGCTTAGCCTCCTTCACAGTGGAGCTAGCACACATACGTCGCGGCCAACCGATCCAATCATTTTAAACTTCAGCAGAGGCCACGCCTCCAGCAAGAATCGCTTCTCTATAGCCGAGAGTCCAGACCCTCGATCCAATCATTTTAAACTTCAGCAGAGGCCACGCCTCCAGCAAGAATCGCTTCTCTATAGCCGAGGTTTCAGACCCTCGTAAGAAGCAAAGTGAAGGACAAGGGTCTGGTTTTAACCAGGCTAGGTGTGCACCKATTTGGCTAAGAAAAATTGCTACACTCGATTCAACAAATATAGCCACAAGAGAWGACTAAAACCCTGCATGTTATTTTCACCAATGATGCTTAAACGTGCATATATGATGTAAATTTTGAAATCAGGTCACAGTTAAGACAATAAGAGAGTGCAGCTGTGTACTTAACCAGTTCATTTTTATCGTGTTTGAGCAAATTATGTGATTTTATTGGGGGGAGGCACAACCCTCCTTAACCCCCTGCAAAAAAGTGAGGATGGGTCAGCAAACAGAGGATGCCTTGCAGGGGCATTAAACAGCAGGAACTATGTTTATCCCCCCAAAACAACAAACAAAATAATAATAATAATAGTTAAAAAAAAACAAGGTATACTTTTTTCTTTTTTTGGTAATGGTAAGGTGCACAAGATCTGTTATCTGTGTTAGCATCACTGCAGGCTCAGCACCATGAGGCTATGCATACTTTTTAAGCAGCAAAGAAAGCAGCAGCTTCTGGTGAACGGCTCGACTYGGTGTTCATTTTCTCATTAACCGTGCGCCCTCCCCTCCTCAGGGATCTGTGTGCGCTGTGACGTGGTCTCTGTGTGCATGCATCACAAGTTTGCTGTGGTGGACAGCCGGCTGCTCATCACCGGCTCCCTCAACTGGACGCTGACGGCAGTGCAGAGCAACGCGGAGAACGTCCTCCTTACCGAGGAGCCCGACCTGGTGCAGCCCTTCATCAAGGAGTTCCACCGGTTATGGGTGCTCAACGATCCGACCCAGTACTACCAGAACCAGTGACTGGTTAGCAGTGACACACACTCGGTCCAGTTCATGATTCTTTGTTGGTGCAGGTTATGTGAAAACTGTTTAGTCACCTTGGACTGGATCTTCTTATTGGAAGCAGAACGTTGTGGTGCCTTTTAGTTTTATAGGAACTTTTCAACTTTCAATATGAGACACATTTATTTTGCTTTTGCACAATGAATGATCTTTATCCGTTTATTTTTATTTTACTTGCTGTCACTGGTTCTCTAATTCATGACACCAACAGTAAGCTCAATCTAAGTGGAATGTATTGTGTGTAAAACAACGACTAGTTCATTGTTTTTTATTGAAATCGGTTTACACCTTGTTTGAAGAATTGAGTTGTAAAGTAATAGTTTTAGAGTTTTTCTTGGTTTAACAACGTTGCATCATTTACCTCCAGGTGAGTCATTTTCGTTGCTCTGACATGCTTTGCTTTTACATTGTTCCAGACTGCTCCACGCTTTCATCACCTGGGATTTCCTAACAGGCTGATCTAGTTGGAACATGATGAACTTGTGTGTTCATTACTCTCTGCCTTTTCACAGTCAGGCTGATGTGTTCAAATAAAGCACAATTATTTCGTCTCATGTCTGCTGCTTGAAGAGGCAGTATTTTGAACTCCATTGAATTAAAAAAATAAAACAAAATTTGAGGTTTATAGTTCAGGCATGATTTACAGTGGAAGCATCATTCAGAGTTTAAGTGGTTCACAGAAAGTTATATTTGACATGACTGAACTGGTATTTTTTATACWTATATATTTTACATAATTACCATGTAAGTTTTATGGTTTCTGAAGGTTTTAGTACAGAGTGTTCAGCTTACGCTGTGATGAAGTCACCCTAACTGCTTTGCTGTTTAATCTATTTTTGCAAACTGTTCTTATTTTCACCAACTATACACTTCTTATACAGTTTGTTGATCAAAATGTAGGCATGTGTGTCTCAGGACTCACATCCTCAAATCCTCCCATCCAAACTTTCTTAGCCTTCTGTGATTGAGTTTTAAATTTTCCAAATATCCAGTGAATGGCATTTGTGTGGACCCCCCCCCCCCCCCACACACACACACACACACAGACACACACCTTATTAATGTCAGAGGAGAGCGGTCAGACTGGTTTGAGATGATAAAAAGGCAACAGTAGCTCAAATCGTTGCAGAGGTCTGCAGATTACCATCTGTGAACAGAACACGTCCGAACTTGAAGCAGATGAGCTGCAGCAGCAGAAGGAGACCACACCGAGTGCCACTCCTATTTGCTGAGAACAGGAAACAAGTCACACAGACTCACTAAAACTGGACATGTGAAAAAAGCATCACCTGCTCTGATGAGTCTTGTTTCACTGGACTCCAGTGACCTCCATGATCACCAGATCTCAATCCAATGGGTCACCTTTTGGATGTGGTTGAACAGGACGTGTARCTGATAAATCTGCAGCATCTGTGATGCCGTCATGTCAAAATGGACCAGAATTTCTGAGGAATATTTCCAACATCTTGTTGAATCTATGCSACAAAGAGTTAAGGCAATTCTGAAGGTAAAGTGGGTTCAAAGGTACTAGCAAGGCATACATAATAAAGTAGCCAGTAAGTGTGCTGACGATTTTTCTGAAGTTCAATTTCATCTGTTTAATGAAGAGTGCTGTCAGGGAGTGAGACACAGATGTGGTGATTGTGATTGAAATGAGTCACTGGCAGCAAAATTAAAGTATTGCTGCTCATAAATTTTTTTTCTCGTATAGAGTACAAATTCGTTGTATTTTATAATTCAGTTCATGGAACCACAGCAGCCACTGATAAATAAATTTCCCCCCAAATAAAAACAAAATCGTCAGACTTTTTTTTTTTTTAGTATTCTAATTACCGTGCTTTTATTTTTGTAACTTCCCACCGGAAGTTCCGTGTCTCTTCCTTTTATCTGACTTGACGGGCTCCGCGGTGTTTGCCCCATCCTGGTGTCGGGCACATGCACCGTGTGGAGATCCGGGAGCGCAGCACCTGAGCACCAGCGGCCGACAGCAGCGCACTAGTTTGGGGGCTTTCAGGTGGAGCTGGACGGCTGCCGGAAGAACGGAGTGGACCGACTCATAAACGCCTTTCAAGGTAAAAAAAAATAAAATACGTGAGTGTGGGATGTGTTGGAAGTGTTTTTACTGTGGATGAGTTAAGGGTGGATTGGTGTGGACAAACCAGGCTAACGCTAGCTTCGATTTATTAGTAAACTTTAGAAGTAACAAAATAATTTCAAGTATCAGAGTTGAGAAGTGATGTCGTTTTTCAGCTTCATGTGCAGAAACATTTAAGTCACCAGATGCGGCGTTTGCTTTAGTGAAACTATCAGCTAAGAGCTGCACCAAACACTTCGGCTGCAGATTTGCTTTGGTGTGCGCATGCGCCGATATTAGTGTTTGGGTGTGCGCGCGTCACGTCTTCCAGTCCATCTGTTATSATATTTGGAGGCGGTAGTGCTGAGCTGGTCTCCAGAGACAGATCAGCAGCCAGGGAGGAGCTGCTGCTGCTGGGTGTGTGCAGATGAATGAATGGTTCAGCCTCATCATGATGCAGAGGGGTGGAGGGATAATATGGTTGGACTGACAGGATGGATGAATATGGGCCAGAAACGGGATGGATGGGGGCGAGCGTGTGCATTTAGTTGGGAGTGTCACTGGGTGGATGGATGGTCAGACGGGTGATGGATGAGCTGCACACGGGTTGAGGGAATCTGTTGCCCTCAGCACACCACTTAGCGTCTGCTCGCCCTAAAAGTGTCTGTCTGACTTCATGTGACAAATGCAGGAAGCCGCAGGTGACAGATAATGGGAGACACTATAAGGAGGCTGGAGGGGTGGGGAGGGGCACGCCCGGCTGTGACTCACAGCATAGTGATGAGCTCTAAGAGGGGGGAAGGCAGGAAGAAAGATGGACGTTTACTCCACCACTCATCAAGCTTGCCTGCATGAGACAGCAAGGGGCCGCTGCCAAACTATTACTCACAACCCTCGAAGCGCACYGGAGAGCTGGCATTATTATCAAACACACCATTTTTTTACTCTGTGTCCACTTCCAGTTCATATACGTATTTCTAATAAACAGAAGTAGGCTTGTGTAAGTGTCTGTTAAATATTTAGTGGCATCATGTGGAACAGCTGTGGTTCTATCTGAGATGACGCAACGAGCTCCGTTCCTCTCCTGATTGTGATTGACAGATGGCACTAGCCCGAGATCCAGGGGTGGGCCAGGAGCAGAGGGACGCGGCCGACCAGAACTTCGACTTCATGTTCAAAGTGCTGATCATCGGCAACAGCAGCGTGGGAAAGACCTCCTTCCTGTTTCGCTTCGCGGACGACTCCTTCACCTCGGCGTTTGTGAGCACAGTGGGCATCGACTTCAAAGTCAAGACCATCTACAGGAACGACAAGAGGGTGAAACTCCAGATCTGGGTGAGACGATAACGAGGGACGTTCATTTAGCTTTACGATAACACGCTGCTGGATCTTCACTCATGTTCTTACTGAAGACTTCAAACTGAAATACAGGGTTTAGACATTATGTTTTCCCAGGTTTTTTGCTTTGTATGAGGTGTTGGGCAGCTGGGATTTGCATGAAGACCAACAGGTGTGTATCTTCTCGGACAACACTGAGGAGGCCTGCAGTTGAGTTAGGGCACTCTGCAGCTAGATTTAAAGGGTTATGTTTGCATTTATTTAAAATCATTTTACTTGTTTTCWGAGTTTTTTTAATTTAACAATTCATGGAGTGAGTTGTGTTTTCGTTTAGAGAGGCAGAAAAGGTTTTTTTACAAGGACAATAAGATGATTGTTCTAGTTATTCAGAATGTGTATTGCCATACGGAAGGTGTTTCATTAATCAGATGTTTTTTTTCCCCTCAATCAAACCGTGTTATTTCTCACTACTAGGATCAGTAGCTATTTGTTTGTGTTCATCATTAGCCTGGTAAAATCCAGCCCCTCATTCTGCACTTTTCTTCATACAGAGAGTCTGGAACCTCCACTATTGAGAAGTGATTTCTTGTTTTAAGCGTGGACATTGTTGAAGTTTTAAATGATTGGGTCTGATGTTACCCAGTCGCTAACATTTGGCTGTGATGTATGCAGTGGGCCATAGACCGTGAAGGAGGCTAAGCTAACTGGAAATTGCGTGCACTGTAAATGTTACTCAGTCGCTAACATTTGGCTGTGATGTACGCAGTGTGCCATAGACCGTGAAGGAGGCTAAGCTAAGCTAAGCTAACTGGAAATTGCGTGCACTGTAAATGTCCATCCCCTACCGGGAAGAGAGAAGTAAGAGCCTAACGAGATGGCTATAAATGAGATGAGATGCTTATTTGTAGTTTTTAACAGTATTTGTAGTGATATAGTAACCTTTCTGGTTTACAGTATGGTAACAATATTGCAAACAGCAAATGAGCCATTCATGTTAATATGTTTGAGTAACATAGCATCTTCATTTAAAAAAAGTTATCGTAACCTTTGAAGAAATGAAACAGACAAAATTAAACTTGTACAGGCAGCATTTATCAATAAGAAATCTGCTGAGTAAGCAACCTGTCACGTAACATTGGTCTGTGCATGTGCATTGCCACAAAGTAGGATTGATTGATGGCTAGCACAGACCGTCAGAGCATTTGTACCGGACAGCCAGTGGGAACAGCTGATCAATCCTGTGAGGAAAATGTTCGATACGTCAGAACCTATTTGGCAAATCTCTCTGATAGATATTTTTAAACTTTATCATTTTTTATATTTGATCCTATTGCATTAATCAATTGTATTAAATATGTCTTTCTTGCTGCCATAATTTTCATCTCTGCAGCTCATCTGCAGAGATGAAAATTATGGCAGCAAGAAAGACATATTTAATACAATTGATTAATGCAATAGGATCAAAATATAAAAAATGATAAAGTTTAAAAATATCTTATCACTCTCCTTTTGCGCATTAACTCTTTTTCAAAAAATCTAAAAGCCACCTCAAATGAGTGTAAAATCTTTTTTGCGACATAGAGTTAAGTTTTTTCGAATCGTGCCKTTTCCATCCAACTTTTCTAATGTGATACTTCAAAATGGGCATAAAAAACGTCGATGGAAACACGGCTGTTTTTCTGCACATTTGACTTGGTTCAAGCTCTTTAAAATGACAAAGCGTGCTAAAGTCCTGCTTAGCTGAAAGACTGAGCTTTTACAATCATGTCTGTGTTCCAAATATCCTAAATAATTCTAGGAGAGTTATTAAATAGCCTTTTTTCATTGAGTGTATTGTAAAATTCACTAGGGAAATAAGTGACACACACACACACTATATGTAAAGTAAACATAGTATAAAGCACTTCAAGAGGTAATTTCCTAAAGAAAATAATGGCACTAACCTGTGGGTGGGAATATTTAGAATATATCATTGAAAGCAGAGGAGCGGAGGGAGTAAAGCGTTCCAGTGTTTGCCCACTTACATGCTSCTGCCTGTCATGAATTGAAACTCATTTCTCCCACTCCGGTGTTAATGACAGTTGATGTTAAACATTGTCCCCAGACAGCAGGCTTCATGAAAGATGCATGGGACTGAGCTACCGGAGCAGAATGTGTTTGCTGCGCAGACTGACACCCACGACAGATCTATTACTGAACGTTAGTGGGGGGCACCCCCCCGCCTCCGCCTCAGTACTCCAACCTGATGAAAGCACTAAATCTTGTTTAAGTGTATTAAAGTTTCGCTGACACAAATACAGTGCAGGAGGAGAAAAATGATGGAACAGTAATACCACATTTAAAATCTTTTAAAATAATGCTTTGACACCAGCTGTAGATCGTCTCAGAGCATTCTTTAGAGCYTGAGATTAATGTTGAATGTGACTACCGAGAGTATATGAGGAAAGAATATCTCAGTCTTTTATTAMCCTGTAAACCTTTCTTCTGTRTRGMGTTTTAATGAACTCAGAACCATCTTATTATCTGATTTAAAAATATTATCTTAATAAGTTCATTTTATTTCCTGAAGGAACCAAACTGTATTTCTGTGTTTATTTTATTTTATTTATTTTTTATTTTTGAATAGGTTATTGCTGATGTCTTTCCATCTTGGCATTGTTTTAATACATTCTGTACATAGAGCTGGGTGTTTTGACTCAAATTTTATATCACTGTGTTTTCAACAATGACCTGTATCAGGGTATTTGACGGCATTTTTCTTTTCATCACAGTTCACTGATAATAAAATGTACAAACTTTGCTTATTGATCAGCAAACTGCGATCAGCTGAAGTTACTTTTTTTTCTGCAACACAGAAACTCTTACTTGACTTTTCTTTTACTTTAATTCTCTCTGTGCCGCTGTTTCGCTGTCTTTTCTTCTTTGCCTGGTTGCAGACAGTAGTCACACATTTTGGTACAATTGTTGAGGAGGGTTGAGCAAAGATCAATATCAGGTCTCTCATTTTATGTTTTTCAATAAAGCTTAACAGGACAACTCAGCCTCCGTGCACCAGTCAAATAAACACCAGTGCAAAACCACTTCCCCCTGGCTTTTCACAATAGAAGCGCATTAATATGGAGGGCCGAATCTGACATAATTAGAAATAAAAGCAGAAATGTATAAATGGGCCAATAAATAAATAAAAACACTTAAAATGCACCAGTTAAATTTAAAAAGGAGAATTTACCTCATGTTTTATAATTTAACTGACTTTCACATTTTATTTTTCCAGCTTAGTTCCAATAAATTATGTATTTTACCACATAATTTAAATTTTACTGCTTTTAAAAATATGTATATTTTTTTCTTTTACTTGTGCATGCATCGATGTCTCTTAAATTGTATTTAATTATTTTTCATAGTTTTCCTCTCAAGTCTTTTTATTTTTATGTGTTGCTTTTACATTTCTCTGTCTCCTGTATTTACCATATGCATTTCTGCTTTACTATGAAAATTAGGTGGGCGGTCCTTCTTGGGTCAGCTCCTCTCCTATTGGTCAACAAACAGGAAGAAGCAGGATCCTTGTGCAGATCTGCTGTGCATGTTTGTGCTGCCTCAGTTTAGCTTCAAGTTTAAGGTTTAGTTAAAAACCAAGGCAAGGAGGAAAACACTTACCTGTGTCTTTGTTTTTAACTAAACTTTAAGCTATACTTACACATTAAATCTGTCTGTGCACGTCACTGAAGAGGTGTATACATTCAGCGATGGCGAAAATGAGTTTTTTTTTTTTTAACATCAGTCAATAAAAGCAGCGATATCGCTGCCCGCCACCAGTTATTGAGAGGTTAATAAATAATGGCATGATGGAATCTGTTGTGCTTTTTATGCACTTGAAAAACTAAAACCTGGTAAAGACTAGAATTTAAAGGAAATATTTCTCTTTCCTTTTTGTCAAAAAGAAAAAAATTGGATAGGTCTTCTGGACGGGTTCTTCTTTAATGAAACGTTTCAT